GTCATATTTTTAAAGAAAAAAAAATTTAAAATTTTTGTCTGAAAAACAAAAACGACATAGTATACTATGACCAAAATAACAGATTTTAGGGTGAAAAAAAAATCTGTTTTTAGGATGAAAAACCATGCCATAGTACAGTCTAATCAAAATGCTATGGTATAGGATGTTAAAAATGTCATATTGTTAAAGGAAAAAAAACATTATATTTTAGTCTGGAAAAAAAAACGACATAGTATACTATGACCAAAATTACAGATTTTAGGTTGAAAAAAAAAATCTGTTTTTAGGATGAAAAACCATGCCACAGTTTAGTCTGATTAAAATGCCATAGTAAAGGATGTTAAAAATGTCATATTTTTGCAGGAAAAAACAAATCATATTTTAGTCTGGAAAAAAAAAAGACATAGTATACTATGACCAAAATTACAGATTTTAGGTTGAAAAAAAAAATCTGTTTTTAGGACTAAAAACCATGCCATAGTTTAGTCTGATTAAAATGACATAGTAAAGGATGTTTAAAATGTCATATTGTTAAAGGAAAAAACAAAATTATATTTTTGTCTGAAAAACAAAAACGACATAGTATACTATGACCAAAATAACAGATTTTAGGGTGAAAAAAAAATCTGTTTTTAGGATGAAAAACCATGCCATAGTACAGTCTAATCAAAATGCTATGGTATAGGATGTTAAAAATGTCATATTTTTAAAGAAAAAAAAAATTTAAAATTTTTGTCTGAAAAAAAAAAACGACATAGTATACTATGACCAAAATTACAGATTTTAGGTTGAAAAAAAAATATATGTTTTTAGGACTAAAAACCATGCCATAGTTTAGTCTGATTAAAATGACATAGTAAAGGATGTTAAAAATGTCATATTTTTGCAGGAAAAAACAAAATTATATTTTAGTCTGGAAAAAAAAACGACATAGTATACTATGACCAAAATTACAGATTTTAGGTTGAAAAAAAAATATCTGTTTTTAGGATGAAAAACCATGCCATAGTACAGTCTAATCAAAATGCTATGGTATAGGATGTTAAAAATGTCATATTTTTAAAGAAAAAAAAAATTGAAATTTTTGTCTGAAAAAAAAAAAACGACATAGTATACTATGACCAAAATTACAGATTTTAGGTTGAAAAAAAAAATCTGTTTTTAGGACTAAAAACCATGCCATAGTTTAGTCTGATTAAAATGACATAGTAAAGGATGTTTAAAATGTCATATTGTTAAAGGAAAAAACAAAATTATATTTTAGTCTGGAAAAAAAACGACATAGTATACTATGACCAAAATTACAGATTTTAGGTTGAAAAAAAAAATCTGTTTTTAGGACTAAAAAACATGCCACAGTTTAGTCTAATTAAAATGCCATAGTAAAGGATGTTAAAAATGTCATATTTTTGCAGGAAAAAACAAAATTATATTTTAGTCTGGAAAAAAAAAAGACATAGTATACTATGACCAAAATTACAGATTTTAGGTTGAAAAAAAAAATCTGTTTTTAGGACTAAAAACCATGCCATAGTTTAGTCTGATTAAAATGACATAGTAAAGGATGTTTAAAATGTCATATTGTTAAAGGAAAAAACAAAATTATATTTTTGTCTGAAAAACAAAAACGACATAGTATACTATGACCAAAATAACAGATTTTAGGGTGAAAAAAAAAATCTGTTTTTAGGATGAAAAACCATGCCATAGTACAGTCTAATCAAAATGCTATGGTATAGGATGTTAAAAATGTCATATTTTTAAAGAAAAAAAAAAATTAAAATTTTTGTCTGAAAAAAAAAAACGACATAGTATACTATGACCAAAATTACAGATTTTAGGTTGAAAAAAATATATATGTTTTTAGGACTAAAAACCATGCCATAGTTTAGTCTGATTAAAATGACATAGTAAAGGATGTTAAAAATGTCATATTTTTGCAGGAAAAAACAAAATTATATTTTAGTCTGGAAAAAAAAACGACATAGTATACTATGACCAAAATTACAGATTTTAGGTTGAAAAAAAAATATCTGTTTTTAGGATGAAAAACCATGCCATAGTACAGTCTAATCAAAATGCTATGGTATAGGATGTTAAAAATGTCATATTTTTAAAGAAAAAAAAAATTAAAATTTTTGTCTGAAAAAAAAAAAAACGACATAGTATACTATGACCAAAATTACAGATTTTAGGTTGAAAAAAAAAATTTGTTTTTAGGACTAAAAACCATGCCATAGTTTAGTCTGATTAAAATGACATAGTAAAGGATGTTTAAAATGTCATATTGTTAAAGGAAAAAACAAAATTATATTTTAGTCTGGAAAAAAAACGACATAGTATACTATGACCAAAATTACAGATTTTAGGTTGAAAAAAAAAATCTGTTTTTAGGACTAAAAAACATGCCACAGTTTAGTCTAATTAAAATGCCATAGTAAAGGATGTTAAAAATGTCATAGTTTTGCAGGAAAAAACAAAATCATATTTTAGTCTGGAAAAAAAACGACATAGTATACTATGACCAAAATTACAGATTTTAGGTTGAAAAAAAAAAACAGTTTTTAGGACTAAAAAACATGCCACAGTTTAGTCTGATTTAAATGCCATAGTAAAGGATGTTAAAAATGTCATATTTTTGCAGGAAAAAACAAAATTATATTTTAGTCTTGAAAAAAAAACGACATAGTATTCTATGACCAAAATTACAGATTTAAGAGTGAAATTTTTGTTTAGATTTTTGGATGAAAAAACATGCCATAGTATAGTGTGATCAAAATGTCATGGTATAGGATGGTAAAAATGTCATATTGTTAAAGGAAAAAAAAAAGTATATTTTCGTCTGGAAAAAAAACGACATAGTATACTATGACCAAAATTACAGATTTTAGGTTGAAAAAAAAAATCTGCTTTTAGGACTAAAAAACATGCCACAGTTTAGTCTGATTAAAATGCCATAGTAAAGGATGTTAAAAATGTCATATTTTTGCAGGAAAATACAAAATTATAGTTTAGTCTGGAAAAAAAACGACATAGTATACTATGACCAAAATTACAGATTTTAGGTTGAAAAAAAAAATCTGTTTTTAGGACTAAAAAACATGCCACAGTTTAGTCTGATTAAAATGCCATAGTAAAGGATGTTAAAAATGTCATATTTTTGCAGGAAAATACAAAATTATATTTTAGTCTGGAAAAAAAACGACATAGTATACTATGACCAAAATTACAGATTTTAGGTTGAAAAAAAAAATCTGTTTTTAGGACTAAAAAACATGCCACAGTTTAGTCTGATTAAAATTCCATAGTAAAGGATGTTAAAAATGTCATATTTTTGCAGGAAAAAACAAAATTATATTTTCGTCTGGAAAAAAAACGACATAGTATACTATGACCAAAATTACAGATTTTAGGTTGAAAAAAAAAAACAGTTTTTAGGACTAAAAAACATGCCACAGTTTAGTCTGATTAAAATGCCATAGTAAAGGATGTTAAAAATGTCATATTTTTGCAGGAAAAAACAAAATTATATTTTAGTCTGGAAAAAAAAACGACATAGTATACTATGACCAAAATTACAGATTTAAGAGTGAAATTTTTGTTTAGATTTTTGGATGAAAAAACATGCCATAGTATAGTGTGATCAAAATGTCATGGTATAGGATGGTAAAAATGTCATATTTTAAAGGGAAAAAAAATTTATATTTTCGCCTGAAAAAAAAACGACATAGTATACTATGACCAAAATTACAGATTTTAGGTTGAAAAAAAAAATCGGTTTTTAGGATGAAAAACCATGCCATAGTATAGTCTAATCAAAATGCCATGGTATAGGATGTTTAAAATGTCATATTGTTAAAGGAAAAAAAAAAATATATTTTCGCCTGAAAAAAAACGACATAGTATACTATGACCAAAATTACAGATTTTAGGTTGAAAAAAAAAATCTGTTTTTAGGACTAAAAAACATGCCACAGTTTAGTCTGATTAAAATGCCATAGTAAAGGATGTTTAAAATGTCATATTTTTGCAGGAAAAAAAATGTATGTTTTCGTCTGAAAAAAAGATATAGTATACTATGACCAAAATTACAGATTTCAGGTAAAAAAAAAAAATCTGTTTTTAGGGTGAAAAACCATGCCACAGTTTAGTCTAATCAAAATGCCATAGTAAAGGATGTTTAAAATGTCATATTTTTGCAGGAATGCACAAAATTATATTTTAGTCTGGAAAAAAACAACATAGTATACTATGACCAAAATTTCAGATTTTAGGGTGAAAAAAAAAATCTGTTTTTAGGACTAAAAAACATGCCATAGTTTTGTCTGATTAAAATGCCATAGTATAGGATGTTGAAAATGTCATATTTTTGCAGGAAAGCCCAAAATTATATTTTAGTCCGGAAAAAAACGACATAGTATACTATGACCAAAATTTCAGATTTTATTGTGAAAAGAAAAAAAATTGTTTTTAGGATGAAAAACCATGCTATAGTATAGTCTAATCAAAATGCCATGGTATAGGATGTTAAAAATGATTTTAGGGTGAAAAAAAGTTTCTGATTTAAGGATGAAAAAACATGCCATAGTTCAGTCTGATTGAAATGCTATATTATAGGAAGTTAATTTTGTATTTAAAAAAAGGTCATAGTATTGTATGATGATATAGCATGAAAAAAAATGATATTTTAGTGTGAAAAAAATGATGTTTTAGGATGCAAAAAAATTCATAGTAAAGCATGATATAAATGTCACAGTATAGTATGATAAGACTTATTTTTACAATTTTGGTTTGATAATTGAACAACTTGCCTCATTGATTGTCTTTTTGAAATGCTGTCTTCTTCTGTGCTAAAATCATAGAGGTAGCTGTTGGTACTGAAGGGTTTATAAGTAACTGTCCTGTGTGCAGTTCTGTGTGTGAACCTTCTGCAGTCAGTTTCCAAAAATAGCTCCTCAAACACACTTTCCCCTCCAAAGGTCTCGTTTTTTTTATGCCCTGTCTTCACTTTCTTTTTCACATGACCGAGGAGCAGAGCAGAGGAGAGGTTTTTACTTGACTTTAGAAAGGACAGAGGTCTTTTTTTCAAGTTTTTATTCTCACCAGGAAAGGGTTTTTCTGTGAGTTTTTGACTATTTGAAGATGAAGAAGACATTCCAGGTAATCAAGGAATCGACTGAAAACTAAAAAAAGAAACGTATTCACAGTTTTGACATTAGTTGGGTTTTATTTTATGCAGACTAATCAGTGTTATCATCATGTGAAGGTCCTGTTTGTGGTTCTCCTCACTGCTGTGGGAGCTGACAGCCAGTCCTTCCACAGAGGAAACTGCCCTAAGCCGTCTGTTCAAGAGGACTTCAACGTCACAAAGGTTCAAAACTTTTATTCAGAGTTTGATGACTGAGGAGTCTGTCTATCTAATTTGATTAAGAACAAGAGTGTTGACTTGAAATAAACTGTTTTGATTCTAGTACATGGGCACCTGGTATGAAATAGAGAAGCTCCCAGCTGTGTTTGAAAGAGGAAAGTGTAACCAAGCCACATACACCCTTCTTGATGATGGGACAGTGAAGGTCCGCAATGCAGAGCTGCTGTAAGCGTCAATCTGCTCTTTTACTTCAATGTTTGCATGTCATCACTAGTGCACCGCTCTGTAATCTGCATGAGAATAAGGATGAATTAAAGGAATCTCTCATTTTAGGGCCAATGGAAAGATAAGTTCAATCGAAGGTGTCGCCAAAGTTAAAAACTCATCTGAACCAGCGATTCTGGACGTCGGCTTCTTTAAAGGTAAAGAAAAAAACACAGGCTCTTGTTTTGAAAGGATGCATGTTGCAGAAATGATGCTGTTCTACCTGTATCCAGGTGCTCCAGATGCTCCATACTGGGTCCTCTCCACAGACTACCAAACATACGCTCTGGTCTACTCTTGTTCAAACTACTTCGGCCTCTTTCACATCGACTTCGCCTGGATGCTGGCTCGCACTCGGGTGCTGACTGAAGATGTCGTCAGTCAGCTGCATGATAAACTGACTGCTGCAGGTGTGAACGTGAAACGCCTCACAGTCAGCGATCAGACGGGATGTGATGTCATGACATGAGGCAGAATCTGCAAAACAAAACAGAGATGGAATGGCGAATATATCTGTTTCATATACTGAGCCTTAATATGAGTTTTGAATCATGTATGTAGATTGTTGTTTAGGTGAGTGAAACATGATTTTCTTACTGTAAACATGTTAGTGGCTCCATGTTTGAGGTTGCTGACTTTCATAAAAAAAAGTAAACTGCATTTCAGGATATGATCTTTGTGTTGACTTCCTGATATTATTAATATGAAGATTCACACCTTCGAATGTTTAACACGTGATATATTGTGACAAAATAACAAACTAGACACAAAGCAACCACAACACAAATGAGAGGCAGCAGGGCAGCAGTTCCCCACCAAATGCCTCTCCAGACTGCAGGCAGCTCTGGGCTTTTAGACTCCCAGCACCAGGTGAGTCTGATTGGCACTCAAGTGATTTCACCTGGGCAGCTATGGAGAGACAAAGGGGGAAAAACACATGCAAAACAAACACACAGCCGTAACAAAGGCAATAGTATAGTATGATAAAAAAATTCAAATTTTAGTATGTACATTTTTTTCATAGACTAGTATGTTAAAAAATGTCATAGTACAGTATGAAAAAATTTAAAAATTTTAGTTAGAAAAAATGTCATAGTATAGTATGTTAAAAAATGCAACAATAAAGTATGATAAAAATTTCAAATTTTAGTATGAAACAATTTTTATAGAATAGTACGTACAAATTTCATTGTACAGTATAATAAAATTGTCAAATTTTGGTTAGGAAAACATGTCATAGTATAAAATGTTAAAAAATGTCATCATACAGTATGTTTAGTATAATATAATACACATATTTATAATTACATAAGAAAAAAAACCCAACATGTTTAACCCCTTAATTTTGGAATAAATTACAATTATTATTTCTTTTACCATTATCAATCATTAGGGGCAGCAGGAGCTCAATAACTGGAAGGTTGGCAGTTTGATCCCCACCCTAACCTGAGTCTGACCGTTGTGTCCTTGGGTAAGACACTTAACCCACCTTGCTCCCAGTGTGTGTGTTTCCTCCACCGGTGTATTAATGTGAGTGCTGTGGTGGTGGTGGTCAAAGACTGGCAGCCTCAAACATTGTCTCCAAGTTATAAAAACCTGATTTAAATAATCAGACATCTGATTCAGTACAGTTTCAAATACTGATGTTGAGCATTTAATGGATCACAAAACTCAAGAGGGTAAAACTGAGGCTTTATTCCTTTACAGGTTTCAGGAGTCAAATAAAACAATTTAACTTTTCCCTAGTCTTCACCTATGGTCTTGTTTGTCATTAGAGTTGAATTGTAGCCTTTTTTATAAATGGTAAAAACACCCTACAGGAGCTTTAAGTAACTATCATGGGATAAATATTCAAATTTTGTGAATAAAGTCGTAATTTAAGGATAAAAAGAAGTTTAATAGAGATTTGAAATACGGTAAAAAAGTGTTACTTCAGTTAAAATTAGGTTATAAGTAAAAAATGAAACATGACATGAAAAGATGAAATTGTGAGATGACAGGTCAATGAGGTTAATTGATAATGACATAAAAAAAAGTTTAAAATGATTTGCAAAAGTAAAATTTTGGAATACAACTCAACAGACGAGGTTTAAATGATGTGATACAAAAATAAAATATCATTATTAGAGCTTAATGGTTGCAGTGTTGTAGAATAATTCATCTTATTTTGGGGCTTTTATTTTGTAGTTTCATTTTGTCCTGCAATTTTTACATCATATTTATTCCTTTAATATTTTCCCTTTTTATCTCATAACTATATATAGCTTTTCTTAAGTGATTTTCAAACATAATTTTCCATATTTGTCTTTTAGTATTTCTTTTCTTAATGGCCTTCCACACCTGCTCCATACCTTTATGAAATCAAGCGTGATGCTTTTATTCTGAAAGAACTATACCGGAAGCGACAACAGGTAACCGTCAGCGTAGTAATGGCGATTCTCAAAGTAGTCGGGATGACTTTCACCTGTAGAGAAACAATAATGCTTCTGTTTTGTATTTTTATTTCTTGCCTTCCTTTTTGCTCTTCGGTGACTCGAAATGATCGACCAATAATCGGTGAGTTTATTTAAATAAAGTCAAATTCACCGAAACTCACTAAGAGTTTAATACAGCTGTTATTAATCATTACGGTATTACTACGACTTGTGATACTTTACAGTTTATTTTATAGTTTTGAGTACTTTAGTTTAATTTTCCTTCTGTGAACTGTTTGGGTTTGTCTCTCTGAAGGTGTTCTGGCTCAGGAGGTTCGGTCACCCAAACCGAACCAGAACTCCTACATCGCCGCCTCGTATGTGAAGTTCCTGGAGTCCGCGGGTTCGAGGGTCGTTCCTGTCATGTGAGTTTCTGTAAATACAAACTTGTGTAAGAGTTTATTTGGACTTTAGTCTCTAACCTCCTGTTTTTTTGTTTTTGACAGGATTAACCAGACACTGGAGGAGTATAAAACACTCTTCAACTCCATTAACGGGTAATTTATCAAACATATCACACTAAATAGGAAGAAAACATGTTATACTTCTTAATATTATCATAAAAAAAGGGAAATAAATACTTATATACGAAATTTAGACTTGATTATTTATCTCTTTATCGACTGTGTGGAAGTGTGAGGGAACACATACAAAACAAACAGGGAAACAATACACAAACTCCAAAAACGAGAAATAAAAATAGTAAATAAAAGAATCTACAGAGAACCATCAAACCCACTCTTCATCAAGGATTCAAGGATTTGGTTGACCTCTAAACAGTTCAGATCATGTACACAGCGAATCAGAATCAGTTACCACAGGACATCCAAGAGTTATTTTAAATAAGAGAAAACAAACATAATCAAAACAAAACAGAAACATGAATTTATAACAACAGACAACGTGTCTTTCTTCTGATATATTCTTTTTCTTCTGTGCTGATTAAATTATAGTAACACAACAACAAAGAGGTCGGACTAGATCAGTTTAACAACTTCATCCTACACCATTTTAAACAAAGTATGATTATCTATGTTCCTACAGAGCTGTCTCTTTAATCGTTATTCTGCCAAAGCACATTGTATATTGTATTATTATTTTTAAACCTGTTGGAATAAACAAATAAACTAAATCAACTAAATCAAATTCAACTTTATTTTTTTTTGCATGTTATGTTGAAACTGGACTCTAATAAGTAGTACATGAATAAATGTGATTTTTTTTCATCCGCCTACAATAATAAATATTAAATTATGACAGAGTAACATTAACTGAAAGGTCGTTACTATAAATGACTGAATTCGTGCACACTGCCATGCAGAAAATACAAACTCTAAAGTCAAATAAATACTGAACATTTTAAGAGGCTTCATTATAAATAAGAAATCTGGTTAAAACTGTTTTGTTGGTTATAATAAAAAGCAAATATTGTAACATGAAGCAGCTACATGGAGGAGTAAATAATCTGTTCTTGTCTCCAACACTGAGTCACATCAACACGTCTTCTAACATGTTGCACTGAAATGTGTGTTTTCGACGCATCATTGTCTTCACAAACTCTTTGTTTCTGCGTTCGCAGTGACTCACTTTCTTTTGTTTTCTCCTTTTATTCACAGGATCCTCTACCCCGGAGGAGCTGCCAGCCTCACTTCATCCGGTTACGCAAGAGCTGCCAAGATCTTTTATGATCTGGCCATCGAGGTAGAATCTGAAAATACTCGTCAATAACCCGCTAACTGGTGTGTTGTTGTGGGCTTGTGTTGCTGAGTTTGTGTTGTTTGTGTTTCAGGCTAACGACAGAGGGGACTTCTTTCCTGTGTGGGGGACCTGTCTTGGATTTGAGCAGCTGACTGTTTTGACGTGTGGAGAGAAAGTTCTGGTAAACACTAACACGAGTGGGGTAGCTCTGCATCTGGAGTTCACTAATGGTACGGCTTTGTCCTGATCAATATCCTACTGATTAGTGATCAATGAGAGAGTCTGACCTGAAACAGCAGAGACACAGAAAACAAATACTTCCATACCTGAAATACCTGTATTTGCAGTATCTAATATCATAAAAACATGTATTTGTACTTATATCAGGGTATTTTATGGTATCACAGAGTACTTTATATTCTTATCATAAATAAACCAGGATTAATGATGACTATCTTTTAAAAATAAAGATATTGTGCTAAAGTACACACGCTTGGGAGGACAGAGCCTTCTCCGCTGCCGCCCCCACCCTCTGGAATTCACTCCCCAAACCCATCCGAGACTAAACAGACCCCCACACCTTTAAATCCCTCCTAAAAACACACCTTTTTAAATTGGCTTTTAACCTGTGAATCTGTTCTTTTATTGTCTTTTTAACCTTTTACATCAATGATTTTATTTCTGTATTTTAAATTGTTTTTTTTTTTTTCATTTTATTTTCTTCTTTTTCTTCGTAAGGCATCTTTTAGCACCTGTAAAAGTGCGTTTTAAATAACATTTATTATTATTACATAAGATAATACTCTAAGTTCGAAGTCATGCCTTTTAGTGACTGGTCGATGAAGAAGAAGCAGCGTACTGCAAGCGAGCTAGCTGTAGCAGCGTTTAGAGAGACGATTTAACACTTTTACAAACTGACATTCGAAGATTTATTGTGAATCCATAAACAGTAATAAAGCTGGCACCTCTTCTTTTTACTTATCAATTCATAATTTGAGCTTTCGTCATTGTTTTGTTTTAGTTCCATAACTTACGTTTATCAGAAGTAGTAAACTTCAAAATAAAAGCATAGTTTCACCAAGCAGGAAATAATGCAACCAAAACATCTGAGAGAAACAGCTGTAATTTAACCGTTTGTGAAGCATGCACAAGTTTGCATGCTGCACACGCTCAGCTCTGACAGCTTCCAGGATTACTAAATAAAAAAGCGTTTCTGTGATTTAAGTTTCTCCGTTTCTTTGACTTTTTTGCAGAAACCGCAAACAGCAGGTTGTTCAGAGGCTTCCCGCCTGAACTGATGAAAGAGTTGGCCTCTGAGCCGCTGACGGAAAACTCTCACAAGTGGAGCTTATCCATGTCGGTATGTTGTTTCTACAATCATAAAAATAATGTTTTTTAAGGTGATGTAAATTAACAGAACTTATATAAGTGAAACGGTAAAATGACTTCATGAAAATAACCTGTTTCTCTCAGACGTACAACTCGAATGATGAGCTGAAGAATTTCTACAAAGTCCTCTCGACAAATACAGACGGAAAAATCAAGTTTGTGTCGACGTTTGAAGGTAGCTGCAGAGCCTTTTAGAAGTTTGTGTGTAAATACTGAGCAGAATAGTGTGAATGAGTTCGGTCTTTCCTCCTCTCTCTCTTTTGGCAGCTCATGATTACCCGTTTTATGGGACACAGTGGCATCCGGAGAAAAACGCCTTTGAATGGACAAAGCCGTACATTCCTCACTCGCCATCAGCGATAAAAACCACCTTCTACACGGCTGAATTCTTCGTCAATGAAGGTACAGACTCAGGATTTCTTTTGCTTTCTAACAGTTAGCAGCTGCATGTTACATGTGTGTGAATCTGTCACTGCTTTGCCTCCATACAGCCAGGAAAAACCTCCACAGATTCGACTCGGAGGAGGAGGAGAAAGGAGCGCTGATTTACAACCACAGCCCTGTTTACACTGGAGGCCGGGGCAGCTTTGAGCAGATCTATTATTTCTGATTTCATCGGACGTCTGTTTGCTTTTGCTTCTCAGCCTCTGATTGGCTGACTCGACCCCGTGAGTCGTGAATGTTTGCACATGATTTGGTTTGTTTGATTTTGCGCCGGCTGTCACGCTGCTTGTTGAATGTGTCATAAAAGAGGCAGCAGACTGTAAGCAGGAGAGAGTTATACATGCAACACTAACCATTTTATAACTGCTGCTTTTGGATGATAAAATGAAGTTTTTTTAGCTTATGATTAATTTAGATTTACAGTTTATAAAATGACTTTTTGAAATGTGAAAGGGATCGATTGTGACTAACTAAAAAGGAGGTAAAAACACAATACTTGACAGCTTTTTTTTAACTTTAAGGAAGTGTGCTTCAGCTGCAAAAAGGGTTAAAAAGAAGACAAAACTGTAATATCAGCATATGCTACAGATGGGGGCTCAAAGCAGGGGCGTTACCATAAATCCTGTAATATAAGGCTATGTTCACACTGCAGGTCAATTCAGATTTTTTAACCATATGTGACACATATCTGATTTTTAATGTGACCTATACGTCATCAATATGCGACAAACGTCACCACTGTTCGACAACACGAACAGGTGCGGGAAGCAATTTGTGCTTTGTGCGCATGCGGGTCACTTCATGGACGCATTCCGTTCACATTAGATGCCACATTTGTTGTTGTAATGTGAACGGCCACACAAAAAGATCAGATTGAACAAAAAAATCCGAATTGTGCATCATAACCTGCAGTGTGAACGTAGCCTAAAGGTCCTTACACACCGGGGCCGACGCTAATGTAGAACGCGAAATATTCTGAGGCGAATTTTGAAGGTGAGATAGAAAAATAGTTATACTAGCGTTGCTTTTCGAGTGCCATCTTCTGGGTAAAAGTGGTACTGCAAAAAAAAAAAACTACCTCTGCAGTTTATGTTGGTATTTTGGTCTCAATAGACGTAAGGCTAACTCAGCTAACTCCAGCTAACAGGTGTAAAAGTCAGCTAGCTTCACTGAGGAGTCAAAGTATAAAAAAGAAACCCAAATACACAAAGTTATGATCCTCGCTTGACTTAAAAATAGAAAAAAAAAAGATTGCTAGCTGTGAGAAAGTGGCGTATAGTGACCAGAAAGTGAAAATTCTCTCAGGGTTTATTGGAGACCAAAATATGTAAATTAATGTAAACGTTTACATCCAAAAACATGACTCGACATAAACGCTAATGTGGCGTTAGATGAAAATATACGACAGGTGCGAGACAAAGCAACAAAAAAAGAAGTGCAGAAGAAGACTGAAGGCTGATAAAATATGTATTATTTTATTCTAACATTTACCTTCATGCCACAATCTGACATCAATCTCCTTCTATGCTTTGGATAACAAAGTGGAGCGTCTTGGAAAAAGTCCTCGATAACCGGCAAGAAAGTTCATCTGAATTCAAGGACAGCAACAGAAAATCAACAGTCAGATGTAACTTCCAAAATGCTTTATGCACAAATAACACTCAGGTAATATTGTTCCTGTCTCTTTTTTTCTTCAGAATAAAATGATATTTGAGTAACATTTACACATCAAGCTGACGAGACTGGGATCTCAATCACAATACTACTGGAAATGTAACTAATGCAATCCAGTAAGAAACATTCAAGATGTCAAAAGTGGAACTGAGCTACCGTCAGGAGGGGAGGGGGAGGGAGGAGTGCTGCAAATAACCTTTAACATGCACTGAAATGCAACACAAACATGGTGGAAAATTAAACAAGTGCCTTTAAAATGAATCAGTCTGTTTGAACGACTCTCAAACTCATTAATACCTCATTTCCCAAAGTTCGTGTGCACACGGTCGTGAATTTTCCTCACCGACCTTTTTGACAAGCTATGATACATGCAAACTCTGTACATCATAGAAAGAAAGGAGTCCAGATTATTCTGTGAAATATCAAACTCATTACTTTTTTTTACGATCAAATATTAGTCGCTAACAGAATATATCGATACCAGGTAATTTAAGTTGTTTGTTGTTTAAGTTGTTGAAGTTGTAGCTGCTATTTTGGGAAATTTATTTGCTTTCTTGGTGAGAGTGAGGAGACTTCTGACAGGCTGGGAAATAATCCAGACCACATATCTTTCCATAGGTTGAATTTTAAGGAGATGACACATTTTTCCTACTCTTAAAGGAACAACAAGAACAGTTTCACACTCAGATTAAACTGTCCTGTTGCCTCCTTGCTGCTTGTTGCCGATTGCTGTTGTCCGGGTGTTTGTCATTAGTTGTCTGTTCCTTAAGGTCTGTCCTATGTGATGTGCATTTTTGTCCTTTTATGTAATGTACAGTTGGTGAAGACAAATTTCCCCACGGGGACCAATAAATCTATCTATCTATTAAAGAGTCAACAAGAGAGCAAATAAGTATTTCCCCAATTTGTCGAACTGCTCCTTTAAAACCAAACTGTTTTGTGGTTCATAAGAACAGCAGAGTATCAGAGCCACCTTCAAGGAACAACATCTGAGATTTTAAAGGTTGATTTTTTTCTGAGAAAGCTTCACATTGAGACACCGTCACCACTTTAGGCTCTGCTCAGCACATCATGGACCAAAATTATGGGTCTTAAAGTTCGGGACTTAAAACGTGAAACTGTAACAAAGTCAGAAAACTGAGACTATAATCCGACAGATTATAATATGACGTTTGTTTTCATAAATATTCAACCTTGAAATCGCGGGTGTTTTTCCTCAGTGTGGCTCTAACCCTCGTCTGTAAGGTCGTCCTGTCAGACAAAGTAAGGCACAGTGACTCAAACAAGTAACGCTTTGTTTTGTTTTGTTTTTTGGGGGGATAAAACTGTCTAAAATAAACCAAAAGAAAACCATGACTTCTATATTTATATCTTCTTAACAGCTTGCCAGTCACTGAGCTCTTTCTTTGTAAAAATAAAGCGATGAGATGAAACCAACACCGAGGCAAACATGTACACTCAAAATAAAAATACAGTCTATCTGTAAGAGCTGAATGTTCATGTGCTATTTTACATACTTTAAGAACAAGAGACACAACCACAGTCCAACATGAAAGTTCGTCACCACTTGAAAAATAGTTACATTTCCTGCATTTGCACGCCTCAGACTTCGCTGCCGACCAGCGCCGTTTTCACCAGGAGTCTGATTTGGATTCATATTTACAAGCCCACGAGTCATGTGCTATAAGGTTTGTCCCCTCACAGCCGCCAAGTCTGTGTGAGAGCTGATGCTACCTCCACTGCTTTTTAAGGAGCTGGTCCGTCCTTGTGTGGAGGAAACCGCCATGTTTTTACAATCAGTATATTCCAAAACACGTTTGCTCTTCGGCCTTCTGCAGGGCCTGTAAGTCTGAACTCAGGGCAGAGGGTTGGAGGATGGATGTAGAAGTAGATCGTTGTCTGCGAGAAAGGCAGTCTCAGGTTCAGCATGCGGACACAAAGAGTCCAAATGCAAACCAAATCAAACTGAGCAACAACGGGTGGGAGTCGCGTTTCGTGGACGACTGTATGCCGGGGTTGTGCTTGAGCACGGAGACGGGATGGAGGTAAAAGTAATCGAACAGATGAGTAGGAGGGATTTCAGGGCGCAGGAGCCTGAGGAGGCCAAGCTAACCCTCGTCCTCGTTCTCCTCCTCCAGCGCCTCCTCGAACACGATCTCTGGTAGCCTGAAGCACTCCTCGAAGAAGTTCACCAGGGACTGGCTGAGGTGCTGCCGTGTTGCTTCACTGTGGATGAAGTGTCCTTCGTCTGGGTAGATCTGAGTTACAGAAGGGAGAGATTCATGTATTTTACAAACTGAAATCTGTTTATGAAATTTTTAAAAACCCCTAATTTCCACGGCTACGAAAAGGTTATATCCACTGATCGTCGCTAATTGTAACCATTCATGTTAACGTGTCAATTTCCAAAAGCTTATTTCCGTTCCGCCACGGATCGCTGAGTTCTATTTTTTTCTGAACATTGGAGCATACTGGATAAATTCAGCACAGATTAACCCGTGCTGAAAAGGAAGTCGGGCACAGACTCAAAATAAAACATCCGGCTTCTTTTCAAAATAAATCACTCCGTGTTTCAGGAGGATCGTATTTCACACCATACAAACGGGCGGAGACGAACAAGTGAAAGGTTTTTAGACGTCATTTCACCCCGATGACACCATGGATGAGGAGATGCTGATTCTAGAAGTCTAGAAGTAGATTTCCTCCTCTGGAAGGACACAATCTACTGCTTATATGTCTATGTGTCTGTCTTTGTAGGGACAACTTGTTACTGCGTGGTTGCACGTGAATCTGCAGGTTCTTGTGATTCCCGCTGTCTATCTCCGCCATGAAATTCGCCTCACAAACAGATCCGGTAGGAATTAGCGGACAGCGAAAATCATCGCCGTTCCAGATGCGGTGGAAATTTCAGGGTAACTGATCAACAACAGGTTTGGACAGTTTATCCCTTTTTTTTTGACAACTGTGAAAAAAAGACTTCCTGACTTTTGTGACACCTGAGTTGTAAGTGTTGTGTTTACAGGGTTACCTATAAGTCTATCAGAGCTGCACATGCTCAGTAACCTGTCAGTCAGTCAGTCAGTAATAAGCTCCGATGAACGCTCGCTGAATTACACTGTATCTTAATTGGATTAGTCCTGGTGTTATTGCAGGATGCCCAAGAAGGTCTCATAATCTCATTATGTGGAATGAAAGCATTCTGAATGAGAGCTAATCCTCCGCCTGCTGAGGGTTCCTCCTGGGAGCACAAAGCTCCTGGAGGTTGGAGGAGAAAAACCGAACCAGGCGAGAAAGACGAGCTGAGAAACCGAAGCAGAAGGCGTCCTCATTACAGAGACGGAGACGAGAAAGCACATACCTGTAAGGTGTAGTTGGCTTTTTCACTGATGAGCTGGGAGATGAATTTTGCCGTGTGCTGGAAGTGGACTTTTTCTGTGGGAACATAACGAGATATAAGCGGTTTAAATACAGAAACAGATCCTTTTTTTTACTCATGTTGAATTAAGAATAATGAATTTTTTCTTCAGGTTGTGAAAATCCCACCGTCAGCTGTTGGGTGGATAATGAGAAACTTCTTATCCATGAACTGAGATGCTCTGTGTGCTAAATTTGCCATCTGAGGAAAAGCAAGACAGAGCATCAAATCAGATTAAACAAGATTCTGCCATTATTTTCACGAGTGGGATATGAAACAGAACAATTGGAGTTAAATCCTACCGTGTACGCTCTGGGATCAGGCTTCGGCAGACCCAGATATCTCTCTGAAAAAGCAGAGGCTACGGGGAAAAAAGAGAGGGTCTAATTAGTCCGTCAGAAGTCAACTTCAGCATCATATTATTAACCAGATTGATTCTTCATTTCTGTCCAGCTATTGGAAAGAAAACTACATGTCTCCGGGTTCCCTCCATATTCAAATATATTCACACATCTACATATTTCTCTGTCTCGATGTGGCCTTCATTTGCAATTCCAAATTTGCTCAGTCTTTTGGCTCGTCTCTCACTTCCCCTCTGGCAAAGTGAGAGGAATCAAATAGATGGGAAAGCAGTCACACCGAGACGCCCGGCTCCTCCTTAATTTGCACTTTCCTGAATTGGTGAAGCTACAAGAGCAGCGCCTCTCCCTCTCTGCCTCGGTCCCTTTTACCAACGCTGCTTTTTATACATGCTCGTCCTCTGGAAGGTAAAGTAAGGTTGTCCTGGTTAGAAAAGCCTGACACTGTTATTATCTGTCTATTTCTGCATCTGCATGCATAGGACGGCTGCAGAGGTAAAGCACTCTCCGTCTTTCTGCCAGAGCATGAATACTCACGCAGAGCGACTGGGTTTGTTTTGCATGTTGAGAAATCAGATACAAAAACACAAAACTTGAAAACAAACTTACCGTATAATTCAAAGTCGGTGATGGGAGAGAGGACAGCTCCACATTTTACCGGAGATTCCTCACCGCTGACCAACAAGCTGGTCACGTAGCCTCCATACACCTGTGGAAAATAGAAATACACAGTCAAATGAGTACTGTGGTTTTTCTGTGTTCGCGTTTAATCATAGTAAAAATATATGAAATCTGAGGAGTCCACTCTGAGTCTAGGGTTCATAAAAATGGCCGTTGTGAGAAAAACATAAATTTGGGCGCACTTTTCTTTTTTAGGTACTAGTAACCAAGGTGGACACGCCAACAACTTAAGGGCCTGTGTCCACTAACAGTATATTTTTGTTCTGGCAGCCGATTTTCTAAAGAAAACACAAGTATTGTGGTGTTTTAAGCATTCAGTGTCCAAAAGCCCTAGCAGTGTTATGCCCTAGTGTTAGTGTACACAGGCCCTAACAATGCAATGAATGTAGGCCCCAACAGTATTAATCGACACAGGGTTTAACAGTGTTAGTGTACACAGGCCCTATCATGTAATGAATGTAGGCTCCAACAGTGTTAATAGACACAGGGTTTAACAGTGTTAGTGTACACAGGCCCTAACATGTAATGAATGTAGGCCCCAACAGTGTTAATAGACACAGGGTTTAACAGTGTTAGTGTACACAGGCCCTAACATGTAATGAATGTAGGCCCCAACAGTGGTAATAGACACAGGCCTTTACAGCACTAATTGATACAAGCACCAACAGTGTAAGTGGACACAGGCCCTAATAGTTGAACACAGATGTTGACAAAGACATGCAGGACTTTTCAAAGACTTTTTTTTACCTTTCCAAATGCTCCAACTCTGGATTTGTCGATGTAAGGTTCTTTCAAAAGAAAACTGAAAAAGATAAAAACTTTGTTAAAACAGGGAGAACTTTCAACCAAAACATACAAGGCTAACAAATTTAAACTTTTTGACAGGTGTGTTTATGATAAACTTTTGATGGGACAGTTGATTAAAGAAAAGATAAATCCAGTTCTGTCTTATCTCAGGAGTTATGAGAGATAGAAAATACTTTTTACTGTCGTGTATGAAAACCACTGGAATTAAAACGTAGAAGTTCAATGATACTGATATATTTGTGTAGATATTTGCAGCAGGTTCTTTTGTCTCTAGAGCTGTAAAGATGCTCGAACAATAAAAAAGATGTCAATGTCAGTTTTTCTGGAGTCCCATACCTGAGTGCATCCTTCTGGTCCTGCTCCTCGTACACGCCCAGCTTCTTCTGGATGCGGTGCAGCAGGTTTGTTCCCTGGAAGCCGCTCCCCCGCCCATCACAGCGCACCACTATGGCACCATAGCTGCTCACCAGCACCGTGGCCCAGTCCATGTGAAAGCGTTCTGACACCATCTGGCCACCAGGTGTCCCATCGCTGCACACAAACACAGAGGACACACAATGAAAGCTGCTGTTATGTAAAAAAAAAAAGTAGGACAGAAGTATGAGCTTGTGTCTATTTTTGGACGCTGAGCACAAAAACATAATCCCTTTATTTGCCCAAAAAGTGTGTTTTAAATATTTTTAAAAGCACACAGCTAACAGAGGGTATATGTGAGCTGGCAGTGAGTTTCATGTGCAGGAGAGATGCTGCAGAGACGAGGCAGGAGGATAAAAGAGAGCTGAAAGTGCTGCTGGCATCTCTTGTCTAAATACTGCTTTCAGGGATTAAAACTGCAAAACCTTCAATTTAAAAAATCAACTTTATTTCAACTCAGACTAAAGTGGAACAGTGTTCTTATATAAGATGTCATGGTCACTTTCTTAAACTACAAAATAAACATGAGGAAAAATCTGGTTGTTATGATTCTGAATTATTAAAGCGGAGCAAAGAGGCCAAACTCTAAAAAAAGACAGAGATGCTAATGAAAGCACCAGGAGGATAAGAGAGTGACGTTATTATCCAGCTGGAGCCGCGAAAAAGAGAGCAGCCTCTACGCCTCATTAAAACTCTTCCCAGGAAGTCTCCATTTATGAGGACAGTTATGTCCTCATAAAACCCAGGACGGACACAAGGCTTTTATTCTGTTGGTGTGTGTGTGAAAAACAGGCTGTGATACATACACAAGCAGGAGCAGCGGATAGTGCGAGGTGTCCATGAATCCGGCAGGTTTGAGGATCTGTAACGACAAGGCTGAAAGACAGAGACAAACACCTGAGGTCAACCTGTGAAAACACAATAAATACAAAAGTAGAGCTATACAAACGTAGAGCTACAGAGGACTGTAGATGTCAGGATGAAAACAAGAACTACATAATTATGTGTTAAAGCTGTGTTAAGTGTGCTCGGTGAATTTGTCTCCAACACGTACTGTAGTCGTCCATGATGAGGTCTTTGTACTCCACTGTGGGCATCTGCATGGAGTCCAAAGTCTGTTTCAGGTTCTCATTGCTCTCCAGTTTATACACCTCTGAAATACCTGCAGACACAACAGTGTTTAACTATTAATACTGCACAGTTTACACTATTCAATTATTTAATTACAAAGACTTGCTAAGTGAAACGGGGTTCAATTTACTTCACATGGTAAAAGTTTAATTCTCAACCATCACAACCTTTTTAACCTTTGAACTCCAACCACTTCTTTCTCCTCCTTTCTATAATCTCCTTCTGAGAAAAGTGGAATTTATTTCTTTAAAAGTCACTTTTACAAAACTAATCCACTCCTGGAATTTTAAAAAATCTCAAAATGTGGAAAAACTGTCGGTGATTTGATATTTTCATTTCAGTATTATCACAAGGATGATTGCTGACAGCTGAAATTGCATATTAACCTCAGGATCTCAGACTTAACTGACGCAGAAACTTCCAAAGCCGATAAAGAGCTGCAGCTCCTCAAACGTCTGCTTGATACTGGACCAGAAAGCCAAAGAAAACCCACCAGGTCCCTCTGTCTCATTCAGTCTGAACCACAACAACTCTGAACCTCCGTTAATTAAAAGTAGCATCCTTATTTCTTTACTTTTCCAAAGACCCTGTCACTCTTTGTTGGTTCAAACACACTTTCAGAAAAGTCATCATCAGAAACCGCAGACTCAGCAGTAGCAGCGGGCCGCCGGGTCAACACTGATGCACTCAGTAAACAGTGTTAAACAGCTGAATAATGAATGCTGACAAGATTACACTGCAGCTTTTACAGAGTGCTTTAACATAACAAGGACGGGGACGTCATATTGATAAGGACGACAGTGGCTGTCACACCCGCAGAAACACACAGTGCAGTAATTACATTACAGTATGCTGATGCTGCTGTTGAGCAGTTCATAATTTAATGAGGACATCCATCCAGAGGAGTAATGTGATTACTGACATCATGCAGGACAAAAAGAGACTCTGTACTCAGGTGGTCATTCAGCAAAGGTGCTTTTCACTGGAGCTCATATTAGTATCCACAAGGTCACACTTGTTTAACATAAATGCAAACGTTGGATTAAATACTCACTCTCTCTGTCCTGCGTCTCACTCTCTGCGTCCCTCTGAGTCTTGTAGACAGAAACAAACGGGATGTCACGGCCTGGACAGAAAATAAGGAACTTGAGTAAGCAGGTTTTCACTTTCTGGGTTACAATAACAAATATCTCCTCTAATGACAGGAAAACAAGAAAAACAGCTCAGATCCTTATCATCCAGGCTGCAAGGAGAAAAGTGAATTACAAATGTCTGAGCAACAGGATTATTGACTTTTGATGGTTTCTGTGCTTTAAAAGCACTTCAGTCATTTCCTCTTATATCTTCAATTCAGTGCTGATCACATTCAAAGGTTCAGGAGTGACTGATGTAAAATCAGAGTTATCATATCCTATTTTTAACCATCATAGAGCCTGATAAGATTTAGTACTTTGAGTGTACTTCTGAGGACAGAGCTAAAACATTTGGAAACATGTTTTAATATTCGAGAGCAGTTTTGAGGATCATTTTGGTGCTCTCTTACCAAACACAGCAACAACAAACTTGATATTTTTGGAAATTTGATGCTGGAATCACATCTTTCAAGCAAAATATGATATTTTTACAGGTAATTTTATTTAATTTTGTCGTTTTAAGACAGGTACTTGCAAAATATTAAGAAACTTATGTGTTTTATTTTCTATTGTATTAGACCTAGACACATTTTATTAGTGTTTTCATTTATTTTGAAACCAAATATTCTGTCACCAACGCAGGCAATAAACCGCGACATTTTGAGCCGAAATGTCCGCCGTTTGGACGTATTTCAATGCATAGATATATACATAACCGCCTTTCTTATAGATATCTATGTTTCAATGTATCTGAGAATTACGGATAGCGATTATCTTTGCGTGTAATGCTAAAATTTCAAGAAGGGCCGCATCTGTAAACAGTTTCGTCATGTCGGTTTTGATTTATCACCTGAAATCCAAACAGCCCGGCCGCCATTTTTAATATGAGAAGAACGCGCCCACTTCACTCGGTCTGTGGCGGATGTTGTAGCCGAATATACGAGCAGACGCCGGGGAAAGTTTAACTTCTTCTAACTTTTATTCAAAACTTTAACAGAAATAAACATTGAAACACAAACTCATGCTCAATTCTCGCTCTGGGCTACCTGAAAGTAAACACACTGACGATACTTCTTCTAGCCGGGTCTCTCCCGCTCACAACTCTTCTTCTCTTAAAGTTTTGGAGTTGTTTTTGGGGCTGACTCGCGGGCGCCATCTAAAGGTGTAAACAACTCATGACATGCAACAACACTGACTTTAAAACTAGAAACTCGTGTAGCAATTTTATAAAATAATGTTGATTTAATTTTTGATATTAATTAATATGAATTTATACAATTGCAGTGCCTTGATTTTAGTTAGATTAGTACACAGTCATAGCCATGAATGCAATTGTACTAATAATTGGTGTAATAATTCCTTCTGTGTTTCGTTTTTTGACCATGGTTTCCTCTTTTTCTCCCTCAGAGGTGGCCTTAACACTTGTAATGTAACCTTCTCTAAAGTAATACTTGAGGTGAATTAAAAACAATCCCATCAAGATCTACTTAACCTGAAATATTGCAGCAATGTGACTTCTATGTTGTACTTTGTTTAATTGGAATATTTTACTGGTAATGTCCAATTTCTAAGAGAGGTATTAATTTTTGGGGGGTTATTATGCAAATATATCTTTAAAGCAACAATAATGACTGTTTTTATGTTGATTAAATGGACTCAAATTTTTGTTAACGGCTTTTTAATGATAAACAGAAGCAACCAAGATCATTCAGGACAAGTTTCTTTGCAGGAGCTTCAAAGAGAACAAATAAATCATGCAAGAATGAGGCATTTTGATTGGTATCCAACAATCTTTATTACTGTTCATGCACTTGAATAATTATAACTCATAAAAACTTTTGATTTGTGTTAACTTTGGCGCCCCCTGTGGACGAGGAGCACCTTTTATTACTTGTGTCCACGAATGTGCATGTGTGTTAGTTCTAAAAATAAATCTCTAATCTCAACAGTCAGACTTTTGATGTTTCCTGTGACTTTGCAGTGAAAATTGTTAAAAAGTTTTTATGCTGATGGTCGAAGTTTGCTTTGGTTGAAGTCATAAATATTAATTCTAGCCTGTTATAGAAACGGCTAGACTCCTCAGGCGATCTTATACCGTGAAATTAAAGCATTTTGTGACGAGAAAAAGATAAAGTTTAGTTCAACGAGAGGGCGCCCTGACTCGACAATAGTTACCTTGGCAGTTGAGAAGAAAGTAGCTCATGTTGTGGCTGAAGGAGCCGCTGATGTAGCCGCAGCTGTCGGACAGGGCGCAAGACAGACAGCGACGGTTAAATGAACCGAATGTGTCCGCACTGTGGAAACAAAGAAGATGTTATTTAAATAAGTTTTATCAAAAATAAAACTGTGAAACTTCAAATAAAGGTTTGGTGTAGAAGAGCTGGTACCTGTACAAATGCCGCCGCTTTGGACCATCCTCAGTGCTCAAGAAGTATCTGAGTGGATAAGAAAGAGGAAACAGACTCAATAGCAGTAAACGTGGGGTCATCTCAAATGTCTACAGTGTTGTTTTAAGTGAGTCTAGCACAGCTGTCTTTTGGAGATGAGGGAGTAAAGTGAAAGGGATACACATGCCATCTTGTTCTGCTCACTAGATAAAGTGTTTCATAAATGAATGATGGGCAAAAATGTGGAGATTGAATCCTTTCAAACAGACTAATCTCGCTCCGTCTGAGTGAAACATTTTGGCTGCTTGAATTTTCCAGTCACTTGCACACATGGGAACAATGACTAACTGTGTTTCATATGTTTTCGTATTCAGACAGCTGTTTACATGTTGGATCGTGTCGGTCGGATCACAGATGGCTGGTGGGTGTGAAATGTTTTGGGAGGGATGGGGATGAGTCACATTCCTCATGGGAACGACAGGGACTCCTCGAACAGGAGGAGATTCAGAGCTGGTTGTTGCTTCGTTCAACTGTTGGACAACAGCTCGCAGTGAGTTTAACAGAGTCTCTGTCCACGGTGCTGAAACTGTCCAACACAGACACAGTCAGCGTGCTCTGTATGTCTCTGTCCGCGGTGCTGAAACCAACTGGTAGTAGCTAACACATTGATGCTTTACCCAGTTTAACCCCAAGGACTTAAATAAGGACTTTGTACCAGATCTTCAGTGTTTAGTTTATAGTTTTTTGGCCATTTTGTTTTTTGAAACCTTTATTATTTTGTTTTAGCGAAGTCTTTATTTCCGTTTCATCAGCTCATATTCCTTTTTGCCTTATTTTACCTCTCACTGTATTGTATGGGTTATAAATATTCTACAAAATAACGCTGAAATTCAACAAGACTGAAGCTTTGCTCAGTTCAAAATCATATCTATAATTAAGAAAAGTAAAGATTAAGAAACGGTGTATGAGGATATTTAAAAAACTGACAGAAAATAATAAAAATATTTTAAAATTTAAAGCTCCTGTGAGTTTTTTATGTCTATGAAATAGCCTTAAATTCATACTGATGCCTCTTCATGATATCCAAGAGCAAACATGAGCATCACCGACAAGATTAAAGATTTTTCTGTCCTAAAAGACTCTTAAGACAAAGAAAGTTTTGTACAAAAAGGGGGCGCCAAAAGCAACACAGACTAAAAAAATAAAAACAAAAATAATCATAATTTGAAAAAGGGACAGGAAAGAGAGCTCTGAATCCTAAACAGGGTTAAACTGCTGATTGTGTCGGATGGTTTTATGTCGAGTGGTTTTCAAGCTCACATCAGCTGGCTGTCCTCGTTGTAGGCCAGGACTTGGGTGACGTCCCAGTCTCCAGACGTGATGGACTGCAGCGTGTCTGTGCTGGTGTTGGGCTTTGGAGATAAACAGAGCGGTGGGTGATTAATCAGAGCTGGAAAAGTGCAAATCTAAACAGGTACAGAGCAGAATTTATCACCTCAAACTTCTTCACAAACTATTATTGGGTTACAACGAGACCAACTCCAGAGCTGCATATCCTAAACTTCTGATCGGTCAGCTGGCTGATTATTATGATAACCATCTTTATAAATATGTTTAATATGTTGGAAACAGACCTGTGAGATGGACATGGAGATGTGGAAGAACTTTCCCCTTCCTCCTTGAGGGATGGCTCGAGTGAAGAACAGCTTGAGTCCATCTTTGGAAAACAGAGGCTTCTCATTCTGGAGAAACAGAGGAAACCGTGTAAGAACTTCACCTTTAAATAAAGTATCCATGAGAAGTTAGTCGATTCAAGGTCCTGCCTATAAGCCAACCTTTACCCCAAACACCCTGTTGTTTGATTGGACCATATCCTTTAGTCAGGACTCTCTCTTTTGTCAGAGGCAGGATCGAAAAATGACTTTATAGAGAAAGCTGATAATTGTTTATTTCAGTCTGAGTCAGAAACTCCTCACAGGAGCTTTAATCAACATGAATATATGTGACTGTTCGTACCTGTCTGTGCAGCCATCCTTCACTCTCATCCTCATGTTTCTGTAGAAAAAAAACGACAGAGTATGACATCAATGCAAACGTCAGTATTTTATAGTTCAGTCAGAAAACTCTGGTTTTAATGACTCGACATGTCTATTCCAGCAGCGTTAGGAGTCTCAGCTTTAACCTCCTTTAATATAGAGACTTAAAAGGAGTGATGAGATGCTAAAGAGGGAGTTATCTGCCTGAACTAGCTCCACTTTACTTTACCTTTGTGCAGACTCCTGTCGTGGCTTCACACAGCGTGAGGATGGAGATGTTCTGAGCTCTGTTCAGCCAGTTGATGGCCAGTTTAGTGGTGGTCGCCCATTTCACCATGGTCACATAGTACTCGCTGACAAACACAAACAGACACAGATATATAATCAAATAAAAGATCTTTATATTCTCAGGTCTGGGTAAACGCCTAAACACCGAGACATGAATGAAAGAAACTAAGTGAATAAAAAAACGACAGAATCTTTCTTCCCTCGTCGAAGATAATGATGAGCTTTTAAAAAATGGATGAAACATTAAT